TTTGGTACTAGTGAAAATAGATAATTTCTGTTAGTGGCAGAACTTACTCCTTGAGCCTACCAAAAAAGATAATCAAACCCCTGCTTTTAAAATTGATCAAAATATCCTTTACTTATGTCTTGTATGAAGTTAAGATTTAGTAGAATTTATTTCATAAAATATATACACACACAAAGAAAGGGTGTAATTGAAAGAAATTGAAGAAGGAAAGAGGTGAGAAAAGAAGATAGGCATGCCTTTCCAAATAAGGGAGGGGACAAAGAGAATTACTGAATCTATTTTTGTGAGGAGGACACTCCCCATCCAAACTCTATAATGTTGCTTCTTTCTAGGCTTTGCTCTTTCTTTGGGAGGCCACCTAACCTTCCACTCGACTTTTATATGCCTTATTTTAATTTATACTCCTTTTTTCTTAAAAAATAAATTAGATTTCTCAAAATCCACTTTAATAATTTTAATTTGCTTTCTTAATTTAAAAAAACAATATTCCATTATATATTATTGAGTTAAATTAAAGCGTTGGTCAAATCCATTTAAGGAATTACTCCTCCAATCATTAATATAAGACAAGTTTAAAAGTTTTTTTTATCCTAAACATAAGACGAAATTACAGCAATTAATGTTTTTTTTACCAATTGCACCTTATTTATTGTTTTTCATTTGAATTCCTATAAATAACAATTTAGTATGATAATTAATTATAAAGAAAAGTAAATTTGAAAAGTTACAATTTTTCTTTTACAATTTTAGGTCATAATTAATATTTCATAATAAGCATGAAGTTTGTTAACTTTATCTTATATTTAGAATTGAATTATATATCATTTCAAATAATGAATTTAAATTGTTAAACTCTGTGCGTGTGAGAGAGGGCTTGTTTGGTTGGGGCCACCATAGCTGAATGTGATAGGAGGTACTAGTGGTGATTCTATGGTGTTATTCTCCATCACTCTCATTCGCAAAACCCAAAGTATTTCTTTCGGTTGAATTTTTAGATAGATCACTACTAAAAAAAATATAAATTAATAAGAAAATTTAACAAAGGATCATCTATTCCTTTCTAAAATATTAAATTAGTGAGAAAATTTGTAAGAGATGTTGATTTCATAGCTTGACTTAAAATTAGTGAAAAAATTAGTGAGGGGCTATCAATCCCTCTTTAAAATAAAAGAATTAGTGAGCAAAATAGCGAGGGACTATCAATCTCTTTTTTAAAATAAGACAATTGGCGAGGAAAATAGCGAGGACTATCAATCCCTCTCTAAAATAAGAGAAATAGCAAGGAAAATAATGAGGGACTGTCAATCCCTTTCTAAAATAAGAAAATTAGTGAGAAAAATAGCAAAGGTTGCCAATCCTTTTTTAAAATAAGATAATTAGCGAGGGATTCTATACCTAACTAATTACTGCAAAAAAAATTAACTTTTGACAATAATTTTTAATTATATATTTAATTATTTTCATTTAAAAATAATAATTAAATTTAAAAATTAACTAAAATATACATAATAAAATTATTTAATATTTTCTTTATTGTAAGTTGATTTTAATAAAATAATATTTTATTAAAAATATAATAGAAAGAATAATTTAAATAAATTATAAATATTTTTAACATATTAATAATTGAAAATAAAATTTAATATGTATATGTGTGTATTTTTATAATATATTATTTGATATATTTATGTAATTAAATAATATATATATATATATATATATTTAATTTCTCATATAATAACTGCACGTGTCTTTTAGTTCAACTAGCAAAGAAGGAGAGCAGAAGGCTTAGAAGGTATGAGGTTATGGGTTCAAGCCTTGACTTTGGCATAAACATGGTGAATATATGATATGGTAAGGAGTAAGTGACATAGCACAAGGTAGACAATGACATGTCATAAGTTGTCGCACATGTGGCGGGTGATAAGGCGTGAAATAGTAGGTGACATGGTGGCTGACAAGGCACAAGATTATTGGTGACATGTCACAAGTTGATATCACACATGGCGGTTGATGTGGTATAATTATTTTTAAATATAGATATATTTAGCGAGGGATTAGCGAGGACTAATTCCTCGTTAAAATTATCAAATTTTGAATAGTATTAGAGAGGGATTAGCAAGGGAAATACAATTTCTTGCTAAATTTAACAAACCCTTTTTTAACTCAAATTTAGCGAGGGACAAAATCCCTCGCTAAAATGCAATTTAGCTATGAAAAATGATATTTAGCGAGGGATTTTGCTAAATTCCATTTTCTAGTCATGGATCTGTTGATAAAGATTGGTCAAGTTTTTAGAGGCATACTTTTTTTCACTTTCACACTCAGTATCCTGAAGCATCTGGGTATTCTAGGTTCATTACTTGCCCAACTCGCTCCAGACTAATTCGGATCCCCACTTAGTGGGCCCTCTTTAAGGGGGTTCTCGCAAGTACCTCAGGTGACACATGCTTTGCATATCTAGCTGCACTGCTATATACCTTGGGACTCGAACACGAGATCCCAGGTTAAGCTATCACAAGTCCCAACCACTTGGACAAGCGCCTTTCAGTAGAAACTTTCATAAGCCCGTCTTTAAAAATTTAAGGCAATAGGACTGCATATTTTAAATTGATCATGTTTTTAAGTTCAACCCTTATTGATAGAGCTCAAAAGTTTGCATAATTTTTTAAATTTTTTATTTAAATTTTTAATTATGTTAATACATTGTCTAAAAAATTGTGGCATTTTCATATATTAGTTCAAAACTAAAAATAAATCAAACAAATTCAACCATATTATTTTTGCAACATTAAGAATTTCAACAAAATAATTTCAACAATTTCATTCACACGCTGACGGGGAAAAAACACAGAAAAATTTATGATAAAAGAGCTAGCCTAAATCTAAACATTTTTAAAAGGAGATCCTCAATAATATAGTGCTTAAATAGGTAACCCAAAAAGTCCAGCTCTCATTGACGGCTCTATATATTGATCATTTCTAACTAATTTACAAGAATAAAACACACTCTCACGTGTAACCTTTTACCACACTGAAAGAAAATTACAAACTGTAAAATTGGAAGAAGGTAATTAATAATATATATTTTATATAAATAACTTGTAAAAGGGATCATCAATATTTTTTGTAGAAGATGAGTATACAAACTAAGGGAGTTTCCCACATGGTAATTTGAGCAGCATTTTTGTTATTTTAGTTTTTTTATAATTACAGAATATCCCATTACTTAACAAAAATATTTCTATAAAAAATAAAATTAAAACTAAAAAAAATGTCATGTATGTTATCAAAATAAAAAAAAATGTCATGCCATTTTCTTCTGAAAAAAATAAGGAGTGATGAACATAATTTATTATTCATTTCCTTGTCTTTTTTAATTTTGATTTACTTCTAGCGGCATTTTAGATAAAATTTATTAATTGCTATTAAAATTCTATGAAGTTTCTTATATATTGAAAATTTTACAAAAGATACCTTATATTTCAAACTGGAAAAGCATTGAAGTCATCCGATTTAGAGTATATCAAGAGGCTAGAGCTTTTTTTATAAAAAAAAAATACCCTAATTAAATTTGAACAGATAAATTAAGTTTTTTTTTAATCAAAACAATTAGCAGAATCAATAAGTCAAAATCAATGTGTATATATAATAAAACTAACAATCATTATATATGTTTTTCACTCTAATAATCATTATATAATTTTTGTTTGGTAGTTTATAAATAGTTATGGTGTTTATAAATAGTTATGGTATTTGATAGATATGCCTTGTATTAAATTATGCGCTTTGCTTATTTATTTTTTCTAAAAAAATATTTATTTCATTAATAATTTCAAAAATATGTAAAATTACACAAACTAGTATCTTGAAGACATTTATGTAATGCTCAAGCTAACAATTTAAAATATATCTGCATAATGTTTAGAACTTCATATCAACATTTTTATTGTAATTAAGAAAATATTAAGATTAGATTACGTAGCAGAGATGTGGAAGGAATGCACGTGCCTATATCTAAGGCTCTTTGCGGAGTGGACTACCCGATACCAACCTCTCAAAGTGAACAACATATATATTAGGGTTGGTATTAGAGCTCAAATGGCCCCCCGGTGAGAATAAAAGTATGTCAGTATTTGATTTAATTGATCAAGAAAATTAAATCAGCATATCCAATGATTTCAAGTTTAAGTTCTAAAATAAGCAATTGTGTTAAATAAACACACCAAATGCACTCCTGAAATACCTGTGAGGTCACCGTTAATAATAATGGTATCACAAAATGAAGGTTCAGATTAATCTCAACAAGAGGTGATAATACTTCCAAATTTTTCAGGATATTAAGTGACAAAATCAAAACAAAAAATAATAATAATAAAAAGGCATGTCACTCCTCATAGTCTTATATCTTTGCTCCTTGCAGAAGTTGTCATGCTTACAAACATATAAAATGGTATGTAACCAAATTGCGCGAAATGAGATGCATCACTTTGCACATCATAAAATTTGAAAAAATAAGTTTTATTATTTATGACTTGTAAAAAATATAATTTTTCCTCTCTTTACGATTTTTTCCTTTCTGAATGTTCCATTCACTTGTATTAAAAACAATTTAGTCCCAATATAATTTACACTTAAAATAAAAAATTAATCACTTAGTCCCCTTGATTCTTAACTTTCATAATTTTGAAACTATTAAAACTCAATTAAACTTTAACTCAGTCCAATTCAAGACCCATAATTATAGTTATTTAAAATGTTAAATCCCTAACTTTCAGAAAATAAAATTCTAAAAAATAGAATTATTTTTTAAATATTAAAAACCAGTGCTTTATATTACCAATAACAAAGTTTTAAACAGTTAAAATTATAAAAATTGAATTTAACTAAGTTAAAATTCATGGATTAAATTTATAAAAATTAAGTTGCACTAAATCAAAATTCAAATTTAATTTAGTCAAAACTCTAAGTATCAATTAATTAATTTTTTAAAATCAATCTTCCTCAATGTTCAACAACTATCAATTATGGGCTTATGTTCAACAAGCTTAAGCTTCGATAAAATAAAATCATCTACCCGTGCTATCAGAAACATGCCTGCCTTGAGCTCATCAATATTTCCTTCTTTTCAGGATAACAAAAGCAAATTGACTTCAACGCTTCTAGCACATAAAAATAGAATTCAGGATCAATCCAAGGCCTACTACTACCTCTTACATTACAAGTTGGTGTTAAAGAAACTAGACATTTGCGGAGTTCGCGCCTCCAGGAATGCCATCAGAAACATTTCCGGTGAACGATGGAAGGTCCGGTTTCGTCGTAGTCAGCCTTTGTTACGTGCTGGTTTTGCGGGAAAACTACTTTGGCAAGTATGGCACCTCCCACCCATGCAGAATATGTAGTTAAATTTTCTGGCATGTATTCGGGAGCCTGCAATGAGACAAGAACATGGAGGAAAATCAAAATATGGATACTAATATGATAAGAGTATGTAGCACTATAAGATAAAGAATTTTCCGCAAAACTTTAATAATCTGCTCAGGAAGCAGAGGAATATGCAATTATTAGAGCATGTTTGAAAAACTTGCTGCACCAGGAGGTGGTTTTGGACTTTTGATGCTGCCTAACATGTTTTGGTGTTGCCTAATGTGCTTTCAAGCACGCTACAAAGTTTAAAGGAAAAATTTCAGTGAGAACCCCTTGACCCAATTTAATTTTAGCCAAGACCTAAATTCTGAAATTTCATTGCATATGCGGAGGATTAAAATGAAATAAAAAAAAAACTAAAATGACCTTATTATCTCTAATAAAGCTAGGGGCATGAACTTCTTGCATAGAAAAAAAGAACTAATGACTGAAAAAATGAATAACTGACATAGGTGAAATTTGTAACTCTTATGAATAGCAAAACAACACTATGAATTTGTAACTCTCACTCCACCTAAGTCAGCTGTTCATTTTCCATACATCAATTATTCATTTTCCCTATACAAGTGGTTCATGCACCTAACTTCACTTGTTGATATTCATAGTAATGTTATGCTGTTAATAAGAGTTGCAAATTTCACCTACATTAATTGTTTATTTTTCATGCATTAATTGTTTATTTTCCCTACACAAGTTGTTCATGCGCCTGGCTTCACCAGGAACAACAAGGTTATTTTAGTCAGCTCTTTAATTTCATTTCAATCTCTCACATGTGCAATGAAATTTCAAAATTTTAATAGCTTTGACTGAAATTAAATTGGATCAAGAAGACCTCACTGAAATTTTCCGAATTTTAAACTAAATTAGATGCTTAGTCCACCTCAAACATTCTTGCTTGATGAATTTTAAACTTCTCACAAGTATTTGTCTTAAAAGAATTTATCAGCATACCAACCAATTTCTATTTTGTTTCTTGATTATCATTTGGTAATAGCGACCCATCATAGAGCAATGACTTCTATCATCAAAATGGAACGAAGAATCTATGAATCATACCGTCTATTTAAGAAGAATATTCCTCAAGTGAAACAGCTTTTTCTTTAGTTATGCATGCACAAGAGGCAGAAGTTTTTCTCTTCATATAGATCTAATTTTAAAATTTACAAGGGTGAAACTAAATCTATTGATTTGTAACCTAAAGGTTGTTATAATCTGAACTTGCTGGATCAAAATTAATTAATCGGTATGCTCTCTCGCTCTCTCTCTCTTACTCACACACGCACGCACACATCAGGAACATGTGAATCTTGGACTGCTTCCCACAAACCAGCCTACCCTAGCCACATGCACTAGGCTTAGGTGTCTTAACGCATGTTCTCTTATCTGTAATTTATATTTAATAAGTTTAAGGAAGATGATTGGAAGTTGATGTTAATAAACAGTCCAGAAAATTAAAACAGCAGAAGGAACAAAGCCATGCTTTTACTGATCAGAGACAAAATGGTAGCTATGTAGATCACATAACCACCACATACATACTCATTGAAGTTCAAGAATTAGTCAACTCCAAATTATGAAGTTGATGTGAACGATTGGTTTTAAGAAGTTAATGGATAAACAAATTACCTTAACAAGAGTGGGTCGAACAGCAGATGAAGTTAGGTTAGCTTCCTTCTGAAACCTTTCTTCAAAGCCTACAATAAGAAACAGCATAAACCTGTTAGAAGTAAAGCAACAACTTTCCAATAAACAGAATTGGGTCTAACGGCTCTCTTCCTTTCATTGTTCCCATTTATTTTCGCTCTTTATTTCCTTGACTTGTTTCCTTTGAAGTTGCCCTCCTGTTCTCAGTTTTTATAACAGATTAAGATTTATTTTTAGGCATTAGGTTCCGTGTTTGTAGGTGTCATTGAGAAGTCAGCTTCTCTTTCCCACCAATATGTGTCATTGTATAAACACCTAGCTTAGCAAAATGAATATGAAGTTTCATATTCATTTTTCTGCCTTTCCACTCCTTATTCTTCAAGGAGAAATATCTGAGGGTTTAATAGAGGGGGAAAACGAAGTTGATAACAAATTATTGGTAGTGTTGCAATAGAAGCCACAAAATTGGAAATATAAACATATTCCGATGAGAGCATTAATAGAATATAATATTGCAAAAGTTCACAATAAGATTCACCTTCCTCCTTGCATACCTCAAAAAGAGCAGCAGAACATGGATTTAGATTTCAATTATACCCTATCCCCTTAGAAAATTTAGGAAATATATATCAAGTAATAAAAATAGTTATAGAATCAACAATAAGAGGAATAATACAAAGTAATTAAACCTATCCTGCGTTAACAATAACTCTGACAATTTTACTTGAAGTCATAATCTCCATTTGTTGCCATCTAAGTTTCTAATTAGACAATAGTAAAATTGAGGGTCCAGTGTTCAGTTGTGTGCTCCAATCTAAACCAGAAACTTGGGAAGCCCTTATACCAATAAATTTTGCAATTTATCTATAACAAAATAAATTGCAAAGGCTTAGTTGCTGATGGAATACAATAGCATCATGCAATTCACATAGCCTACCCCACCATACGGGATAAGACTTGTTATTGTATTTATAGCAATAAAATATTATGTGCACACCAAAATATGCACTTACTCACTTAGTAGCCTTGAGCCAGGGCCAGAAGAGAAAATAAATAGAATATAAGTTCACATCAAACATGTCCTAAATGCAAAAGAACCATGAGAAGAAAAAAACTGCTTGCAAAAAAAAAAATACCAGTCATTGCAGAGGGGCCGCCACAAACCACAGTATTTTCCAGCAGTTGGCGGTGATTATCTGATGACACAGTGGAAATAGTTCGTACAAGCTGTTCAACGATTCCATGTGTCTCTAAACCCAATAGACATGGCTGGAATAAAGCTTCACCAACAGTATATCTTTCCCTCCCTATAGTTATCACCTGGAAAATATTTCAACTATTAGATCCCATTATAGCATATTTTGAGTGCTTATGTAAATCCCTGTAAGTCAGAACCTATATTTTAGATCCTCCTTTAATTACAACCTAGCTAGCTTCAATACTCCATGGGAAATAATGACATATAGCTATTATATGCCTCTATTTTGAGAAACCACCCTCAGAAAAAGAGCGCAGATTTCTGACCAATTAGTGCTAAGAGAGATGTTCCTTAAAGAGAGTTAGTTCATCTATTTATCAAAATACACGGCATATTCAGCATGATCAGGAAGTCCAGAGCAAATTTGAGAGTTTAGATTGACTAAGAAATGAAATTCAAATGTTCTCCAGTGTAATAATTATTGTCCTCGTTTCTGCCCATAAGCTTGTCTAAATTAGGCATGATGATCTTGAGTAACACTTCACTAATTGTACAATTGATTTTTCACCCCATTTATATCTTCACTTCCACCCCACTTTTATAACCACTATTAATTCCCACCTTGGCTATGTTGCCAGGTTAAGAGCGATACCAGTTCATTAACTAAAGAATATACCAAAACCTACTAGCCTAAAAATCAATATCAGTCAATTAAATCTTAAAAGAGGAAGCATAATATCTCAAATCAGGAACCTAAAAGGCAGACCTGTCCATCAGGAAGAATATGTTTCTCTGCAACACAAGAACTTTGGGTCTTCCGATAAGCTAATTCATCTTCAGCACAACATGAGTATTGCTCTTTTATTTTCTCAACCTCAGACAGGCTAATGCTTACTAGTGGATTTGACTTGCCGAGTTCTTGAGCCAAGAAATTTGTTAAATCAACGCCTCCAAATTCAAATCTTTTTGAGGCGATGTGATGAACAGCACCCTCAATTACTGGTGCAATATCTGGTAATAAAGCCAAAAAGATCAAGCAAGTTGCGCATAACAAGAAGTAGGAGTAAGACCATGTGGACATGCGGAGAGTGATGGCCAATCAACAACTTTATGTACTTCAATGGCACATACCGTAACAGAATTCAACACAACTGCCATCTCAAATTTTAATCTATATTTGAATGAGTACTTATCCTCTTACCATGTATTAGTAGCTCTATCTTATTTATATTTATCAGTTTGAAAAATAAGATGCAGTGAAAAGAATGCAGATACAATGCTTTGATTTTACAAGAATTTATCTGTGATATTTTTTCAATAAAGAATATTATAAGAGAGAAGAAAGACAATGGGGAATACAACCGATGAATAAATACTAGGATTCTAAGTTAAATTAGTTAATAGACAGGCCTAAGAATCTGATCCTTTGCATGCAAACTAGATGATATACAAAATTGCAAAAATATGGCAAGAAAAGTAGGCAAAGTAGAATGAACATGCAGGAGCACTTGATGGAGGGATTATTTAAGCCATCATAATTACAGAGTGACTAGCTCTAGGGGTTATCTTGGACCCCTAGGTCCATAGATATCACGTGATTACATGGTATGAGACAGTGGGTAACATACTTCAACACCTAGAACAGACAGTCTCACGCTCACCGGAGAGATAAGAGAAACCATATTCAATATAAAAATAGTCATGCATACCAATCTGAAAGGCTTTTTAAAAAACCACTGCTAATCTAAAATATTCCATATTGTTGCTCAAATCCACATCGTTTTGTATATGCATACCTATTTTTCCATGACCAATATCAACTGTGCATCCTGAGATACGTCCCACAGCATATAGTGATAGCACTGCTTGTTCTGAGGCATAAAAGCCTGATATGTTGAATGTTTCAAACATTAGTTGCACTAACTGTTCTTTATTAGCCTGGAAAATAATTATACATGCTTCTGTTAAAAATAGTGTGTATGATACAATGTAAAAGAACATGGATTTTAAAGAATATATTGCTAACAGAGTCGGATGGGGTGTTTGTCCACAAAGTCATAGTCCACTAGATCAAATGGGTGGAAAGTAAGTTCTGAATGAAAATTCAGTTTACGGTCATTCCATCAAATTTCAAGGGGAAGAAGTACAAGTTATTACTTGCTTACAAAGAAGACAACAAAATTAAGCTTCTCAAACCTTTGGCGTACAAAGAGGATCCGTGAATAGAATTTGTCCTTCATTGCCAATTTCCCATCCCAGGCCAGTATATAAAACATGATGCAACAAATCCTCCATTGCATCCCAATCTCTGACAAATCCTCTCACAATTGGATCTATGGTAACATCATCAGCTAATGAATTATCAGTCAATGATCCATCATCAAGCATGCGTTTCATCTGAGTAGGAATTATCTGAATCATATCAATAGAACCACAATTAGTGGGGCATAATTTTATTATTTAATATGATAAGGAAAAAGGAGGAAAAAAATTGCAGAGGAACTGAAGAAGTTCATCATCAAAATCATTTCCTGGGAACAAAACTTATCTAATCTACCAAGCAAGAAATGTATTTTGTACTGAACTAAGGAAGAAAGAGAATAGTGAGGTAACATTCCCATTAATAATTAGAAATTACAATTGTCAAAACTAACTAAAACATTAATATATGACAATAGATTAGAGACAATGGTATTGAAAAAGCTTTTTAACATTACCAAAGTAATGTCGAGGAGTTGAAATGACTCAAAAATTGTTTAGGTATGCATGTACACCGTTTAAAAGATGCACACCTCATTAACCACAATTTTGATAGTTTTCGTAGAATAAAATTGCTGTATGCACAAGCCATCGGCCATAAAGTCAGGAGCATCATGTCAACTGGTCACTAACCGCATTAACCTTCCGCGGGAATATTTATTTTCATCCTAATTTTCAACAAAGACAAATGCATCCAGCATTAATCTACATAAAAGTATGATTCCTCTAAGCAAACAAACAGTGAGGTGGTTTTCCTCTAACTCGGAGACGCAAAATAAAGTCTTTATTTTCCCTCTCAATCTCTCTCTCAAATGTTTCGGTGTCCGAAAGTGTGGCCAAGAAAAAAAAATCTTCAAAGATGACAAAAGGGTATCATTCTGTTTACCCCAACAAGCAGAATGCTAGAGGCTCATTAAAATTTTGCCCTTTTTCTTGTCTAATGTGCTATTTTCTCAGCAACAAGGTAAAGAAAAGGAAGAGTTCAGCTGGCTCATTGATTAATTACCATAGCTGGAGCCTGATCGGGGATAGCAAATCCCGCTTTAAGGAGCTTTGAGCCAGCGTCGACGACCGCGGCCTCCATGCCCTCCTTTCTTGCACAAAACCCTAGCTTTCAGTGTCAAAGCTTCGGAAATGACCTCTCGCAATTGAGCTGGATATACCCAGCATAAAATATAGCAACACCTGAGCTGAAATGATGAAACGCAGTTGCTGAATCAGTGTTTTCGCCCCCACACTATCCGGTTTCTTAATAATTTCTTAATAATCTGAGGGGGGGTCGATGCTGGAGGGAGGAGATCGGAGAGGAAGGCGAACGACGAGGAAGACGAAGAAAGCTGAGGAGGAACGACTCTCAGAAGTGAGGAACTCGCGACTGTGGAGAGGAAGCTGCTGACTCTCCGGCGAGAAGCAGGGTTCACGAGGCTAAGATGGAAGTTTTCATTAGCGGCAAAGTCATCAACATGCCTTAGCAGAAAAATAAAAATTACTTAGATATTACACTTCATAAAATATTTATCTAAATATTACAAATCTAAAAATTGACAAATCGAGTTTTTAAAAAGTTCTGACACACAATTCAGCCTGCAGCCAGCCAAATTGTATGTGAGATAATTTTCTAAAAAAAAAAAAATTGAGCATAAGGCATTAGGCACTGACACTCTAGTACTTCCATAACCTTTTTCTCTAAATTTCTCATGTCTTTTCGCATTTTCTCCCAACCTATTATTTTCCTGACCCCCAAAAAAAAAAAATCCTCTTTCATCTTAATGTAATATAATATGTGTATTTATGTTTTATATATATGAAATTATAAAATTAACTAATACATACTCCTCCATTAAAAAATATAAGACATTTTTAATCTTTTAAAGATATAATTATTTTTTTTTTAAATGCTTCCATTGATAATAATTTTAAATATTTTTGAATGGAAAGAGTAATTAATATATAATCTATGAATAAATATAAAAAATAATATAGAATAGTATGAAATAAATATATTATGAAATATATCTTTCATCCTAACTAATTTTTTGGAATTTATCTTAAAAATATATAGAATAATATAGAATATATCTTAAAAATAATTTATCTAATATATTAATTATATATTATGACCAAATTCCCTCTGAAACGATTAATAATAATAATAAATATTAAATATATAAACCAAGTATTATATAAAAATTCTTAAAATAAAATATTAAAACTTATTTTTTATTTAATAATGAGAAAAATTAATTTTCAGGTCCTTCTAATTTTCATGAATTTTTGAATTAATTTTTTATTTTGTTTTAATTAAATATTTAAAATTTAATCAATTAAATATATTATTTTTTGAGTATTAAAGTCCTTGAATTGTTTTTCAAATAAAATTATGGACTTCTATATTTTATTAAAAGATTATATAACTTTAGAATTAATTACAGAATTTTATGACTCAAAATTTATATAATTAGATTATGTTTTTAAATAAATTTTTCAATAAAAAATTATCATAAAAACTAATTAAATTATAAATAATTGATTAAAACAAAATAAATTACAAGAATTAAATTTAAAATCAATAAAAAATTAAAAGGATCTGACATATTAGTTTTTTCTAATAATAATAAATGAGTAAATAATATATATTTCATAATAAAAATGAAAATAAAATATATATATTATATTTTATTATTTAAAAATATATATTGATAAAAGTCATTACATCTATCCAATTTGATTCTTGTTTTACTTCTATTAATATATAATTATTTTTTTCTCTTAGTGTTTCATATCTTAATGATTCTAAGTTTGAAGTTATTGATCTTTCACTTGTAGATCTTAATAATAATTTTTCATCTTTGGACATTCCTCTACTGGTACTAGGTCTTTGTTCTAGACTTAAATTTCTTCTAGTAGGTTAATTAATATTTATATTTAATATTAGTGTACTAATTCTTAATGATCTTTGTCTAATATTATCATTAGTTATTAATCTTCTTGGATTATTTTTAGTTTCATAATATCCTAAAGTATTATCTAATTTTAATCTTAATTGTTCAGGTATTATTAAATCTTTAAAATTTAATCAATTAAATATATTATTTTTTGAGGATTAAAGTCCTTGAATTGTTTTTAAAATAAAATTATGGACTTCTATATTTTTATTAAAAGATTATATAACTTTAGAATTAATTACAGAATTTTATGACTCAAAATTTATATAATTAGATTATGTTTTTAAATAAATTTTTAAATAAAAAATTATCATAAAAACTAATTAAATTATAAATAATTGATTAATACAAAATAAATTACAAGAATTAAATTTAAAATCAATAAAAAATTACAAGGATCTGCATATTAATTTTTTTCTAATAATAATAAATGAGTAAATAATATATATTTAATAATACATATGAAAATAAAAAATATATATTATATTTTATTATTTAAAAATATAAAATAATAAATATATGAATATTAATTTTATATATATATATATATATATATTATATTTATTATGGAAGGGGATTGGAAGCCGAAAACGAGAAAAGTAAGGAGGGTTATTTTCTGGAGGAAAGAATAGGTGAGAGTGGAACAATAGGCTAAGTAGGTGATAGACTATATTTAATTTTTTTTATAAAAATATCTAACACGCAAATTTGCTTCATATATACCGAGTTATGTGTTAGAATATTTTGAAAAATTGATTTGGTTGAAGTTAATTTTTGAATTTGTAATGTTTGAGTAAATATTTTATAAAGTGTAATATCTAAGTAATTTTTATTTTTTGTTGTAGCATCTAGGTAAATTTGCCTTTCATTTGCAGGGGGAAAAGTAATCATGTGCTCCCTTTTGTCCATGATTCAATATGCTGAGAATCATAATTCAATTCTTATAAATTTAATTTTATTATAACTCAATCTTTAAAGTTTATTTTCTTATAACTCAATCTTTATAATTTCAATTATTTAAATAATAATTCTTGTATTAAAAAATAAAATCATAAAGATTAAAAATATTTTAAACTTTAATATTTATAATTTATAATATTTATAAATATTAAAAGGGTTTATTAATTAACAATATTACAAATAAATTTTAACATAATTTAAATTTTTATATTTTTATTTTTAAAATATAAGGACTAATATTTAACTAATTAAAAATATAATAAATGAGTTATGAGAGTCAAAATTTAAAGATTGAATTACAACCGAATCAAAATTTTAAAGATTGAATTACAATGAGTCAAAATTCATAGATTAAATTACAACAAAGTCAAAATTACAAGAATCAAATGATTATTTTTTTCTATTTTTAATCTTTTTCTGATTAGGAACTAGCTCTTGAGCGTGTGTTTCTAAAATGCAAGAACCCCCTCAAGGCATGTCTAGTTTACAATAATATCAATACAACAAAAAATACAAAGGGTAAAAGTAAGTAAAATTAAAGCTAAAAGCAAAAAGTAAACCAACTATATAATATTATTTTTATCTCTCTTTTACTTTTCAATGATAGTTTAAAAATTTTAATTGAAAAATTTTAATTGGAAACAAAACAATTATATCAAATAGTAACTTACAAAATTGATCAAATTGCACTTCTAGAAGGCACCTAATATTCAAGACTGAGGGAATACTTCTCAATTGAGATTTGTTGCCTTGGGTAGCTCAAATTTCAATTGAAATGTTGAATTAGAATTAGTAATTTTGGCAAAGTGAGCTCAATTTGAATAAAACTTATTTGGATCAATTCAAATATGCCCAAACCTATAAAAAAAAAAAAGCTTGAATGTCTAAGTTTGGGTTGAACCTCTTCAAGTTTCAGCCTTATTCGAATTGGCCCAAATATTCAAATTGTTAATTTTCTATTTTTAAAATAAATTTTAATTTAATTTTTTACATTAAAATTAATTATTTTCTTTTCATAAAAAATATCAAATATATTTTTTTTATCTCTCTTTTACTTTTCAATAATAGTTTGAGAATTTTAATTAAAAACAAAACAATTACATTAACTAGTGACTTACAAAGTGGACCAGATTACACTTCTAGAAGGCACCTAATATTCATGACTGGAGGGAATACTTCTCAATTGAGATTTGTTTCTTTGGGTAGCTCAAATTTCAATTGAAGTGTTGAAATTAAAACCAATAATTTTGGCAAGGTGGGCTCAAATCGAATAAAACTTATTTAGACCAATTCAAATATGCCCAAACCTATAAAAAAAAAGCCTGAATGTTTAAGTTTGGCTTGAATCTCTTTAAGCTTCAGGCTTATTTGAATTAGCCCAAATATTCAAATTGTTTTATTTTAAAAATAAATTTTAATTTATTGTTTACATTAAAATTAATTATTTTGATATTTTTTAGGATTCTTAAATGATGTATAATACTCAAAACTTTTTCATAAAAATATGTAGATCTTAAAATTTAAAAAAATATATTAAAATACATTTTAGATATTATTTTAAGATATTTTATAGATAAAAAATAATAAAAAATATGACAATATAAATATTTTTATTTTTAAAAAAACATCCATAGTAATGTACTCAAATATATATTACCTTAGTATAAAATGACCTAAAATTTAAAAATTAATTAATATTTTATATATTTTTAAAAATGTAAATTTTTTAATTCAAATATTGGACTTGACTTAAATTTTTTCAAGCTTATTACCAGTTTGAATAGGTCTAAACATTAAAATTTTTTATTTTTTAAGCCCAGTCTTAATTTTTTTTTTGATTTTATCTAGGCTGGCCCATCAAATTTAGTTCGAATTATAGGCTCTAGTTAAATGTTTGAGATTAAAATTTTATTTGGGTAAAATATAATTGAATAGAGTTTTGGGGAGAGAAGCTCAAGTTGAAGCCATTCCAATGAGCTTTTTAAAATGAGAATGAGCTTCAAGATGAAACTAGGTTGGACATTGATGTATTTTAAATTTTGTCAGGTTCTCTCTCTTACCTTTCAATTTACTTTAGCTTTTTAAAATTGAGACTTTTGCACATATAAACCATATCATAAGATCAAGTAAATAAATTTTTCAAATTTTAAAAATGATCTTTTTAATATTTAGTTTATAATTAATTTACAAAATAATTCTTTTAATATCTGCTTTTTGCAACTATCAAAAAATTCAAAATGCAAGAAATCTCTAAAACTGAGTCTAAAATGGCCTTTTTTGGATATGAATGTGAAAGAGAAGACAAAACTAGATGTGAGAGAAACAAATGCAAGATAACAAAGTAGTGTGAGTAAGCTATTGTCACAATCGCAAGAGACAAATGCGAGGTGAGATGCATTGACAGTACCTGACGAAACGGAGCATATCGGTGGGGAATAAAGCTACAGATTCATGATTTTTTTATTTTATTAGTTTAGGTATTTGACTGTCTGTAATAAAATAAGAGTCCACAAATTTTTGTGGACTGTGTTTAATCCGTTTTGGATGAATGATTATGTGTTTTTTGTG